AGCAAAGGGTCTGAATACTTATGACCATGTGATATTTCAGTTTTTCTTTTTTAATAAATCTGCAAAAATGTCAAAAATTCTGTTTTTCTGTCAATATGGGGTGCTGTGTGTAAATTAATGAGGAAAAAAATGAACTTAAATGATTTTAGCATATGGCTGCAATATAACAAAGAGTGAAAAATTTAAGGGGGTCTGAATACTTTCTGTACCCACTGTATATTTTGGCAGTTAGGAACAATGCTTTTGGATCTGCTTTTTATATTTTTTTTAACCATTTTAGATATCTTTCTCCCCCACTGATGTTACTCGGCAAGTCAAACACAAGGTAATGTAAAGGAAATCATCTCAGTGGGAGAACAGACTTTGACACCACACTGGCAGTAAAACTTGAGCAACCTTATGCCAACACTACTAGCTACCATAACATAATGTCAATAATTACCATTCAGCTGATAAGCCCCCACAGAATTTCATGGTAATTTAGTTTTATTTCAGTGTACAGGCCTGCCCTGCAGGTGAAACAAAGCATTGTATCCTTCTCTTGGTCAAAGCAGACCCAAGAACCTTTTTCAAACCAACTATTTTGTCGTTTCACTTCATGACCCTCTGGCGCTAGTGTTTCACAGGCCCCTTTTTGTTTGTTTGTTTCTTTCTTTCTTTGTTTCATTTTATTCCTCGCTTTGCCTGGAACTTGGCCAGTTTTGGGTGGTTATTCGCTATTATTACATCATAATTACCCCATTCCTTACTGATGCAAGTTTACATCCTAAGCGTCCAAGCATTTCTTAAGTATGAAGCTAATTTAAATGCCCTTTTTTATGTTCAGATGTTCTTATGTTAGGTTTATGTACTCCGTGGTTGGATAATACAGACTGATTACAGATTGGACATTCATCTCTACTATTTTCCGTTCATTCTCTATTCATGCTAGCAGTTTCAAAATATTCTACATTGACTTGTGACCCTTTGCAGGCCTGCTCCTGAAATATTCTCTGCCTTAGGCTTATATGAGCAAGACTGTGAATGAAGCTTGATACTATCCTAATCTGTAGCAGTGCATTTCAGGTTTGTGTCTATGGGAAATAACAGAATGCTGCTGGGAGAACTCTAGGCAGCATACATGACTAGGCAATGTACCTCTCAACCTCTCAACGTTTAATTGCTCTGTACTATTATGTGTCAGAATTACAAACCACACACCGCTGCCAGGTTGATTCTGTATGTGCACCCTGGTTTTCCCTGTCCAGTGAGACAAGCTTTCCAGTATGTTCCTCTCACAGATGGAGCCAGATGAGTGACACCAGAAAGATGCACCATACAGTTGTCGTATTCAATAAATTATGTGCTGTTAGTTTGCGACTATTGATCTGGTAATTTTCAGCCATTATTTTGACATCTGAGTGCATGAGTGCTCATAAATCTGATCTTAAGTGGGAATTGTGGATGCCTTAAGTGCACCGATGAGTCATGGGATTTAGGACAGTAGGAAATTCCATCTCTTAGGTATAGACATCTATCTGTCTAGCTGTGAAAGTCTTCCTGTTTCAAGTTAACTTTATTTGCTATTTCTTCGTTATTTCAGCAATCATTGTGGTCTTCATTCTTTTGTTTATTCTTCTTTCCATCCTTCCCTCTTTTCCTCTCCCTTTCCTGCTCCTCTAGGTATAAGTCAGGAGAAGTTAGCCACCTTTCTTAAACGGCTGCGGGCCGAGCCACGCTACCAGTTGGCCCAGAATGTGTCAACCTGCATCGATCCATTAGAGGTTTGTCTGCACCGACAGACTGTCCAGGATACTGTGCACGTCTTCCAGCACTCTATCCTCACAGAGGGCAAGCCCATCACCAACCAGAAAAACTCAGGTAGGAGATACGTAATGTAGTATAGACCTTTGGGTCATCACATACCAGGCTAAGCTGTTTCAGTTTGTGACTTTGAATACCGGTCCTCACAATAACATTACAGAGCAAATGCAAATTAGTGCAAATTTGTAAGTTAAGACATTTTCACACACTTGTGTTTCCAGGTTTACTTTATAAGGAATGGAGCAAAAGCTGCAAACCTACCTTAAACAAAAGTGATTTCCAATGAGACTGACTATTACGTCCAGCGATATCCGCAAATAACAAATTCTAAGTGTGTACACTCCTTTTTACCAGAATCAGAATTAGCTTTATTGGCCAGATGTGTTGACCACATGAGGAATTTGACTCTGGTACAGTCGCTTTCAATGTGCATGTACAGTGCTCTTCTGGAAAGCAATAATAGAATATGCATTTCATAAAACATACATGTAAGTATAGTGTTAATATACTGTACATTCCTGTAAATTCAGTTCTGACACAGTTTGGGTCCGACATGAAACATGATTTCTTCAGCTTCTTTAAGCATATACCAGCTACACTTAAAGTAACTCCTTGTGTGCACGTTTGTCATGGTTTCTGTGGGTTTGTTACGGTTTCTAAAATTTGCATTGTATTTGCATGACATGAGCATGAAATGAAACTACCAAAAGGTAATTTTCCTATTTCCTTTTCTACAGTTCTAACTAAAATCTGGCAGAACAACGCACATTGTTTTCTGCCTGAAATTTTGTTTCGTTGTGTCGACTCTAGAGCCTCACAACCACAATGAGTGGTGTAACTGGAACTGCTGTGTTAGTGGGTACACTGTTGCCTACAGACGTTAGCCTTGTGTCAGACTAAATGACTAAAAGAAATTCTAGCCATAGATGCACTTTGAGCATCTTGAAGATGACCCATCCCAACCATGTTCCTAAGCAGACTGTAGGTCTGAAATTGATATATGCATTTATCCTGCCTCTCAGATTGCAGTTAGTTTCAGCTTATTTCACCATAATATGAAATAAATCTACAGAAGTTACAGCATCCATCCATTTCCTACATGTAGATCTAAAAACCTGCTCCAGGTTTTGAAGAACTTCCAAAGGCATTTATTCGTCTCCTCTTAGTGATTACAGAGTGATTTAAAAACCACCAAATCAAGTCAAGTCTATCAATTTTTATTTAGATATTGCTATGTTGTTCATTAAAGGGATGTCATGAACAAGTGATTTTAGCTTTTCAGGTTCGTGTGCTTTGTGCTTGTGAACACCAGCAGGTTTACTATTGTGTGTATAAACACATATTAAGTTTTTATTGAGCTGCATATTTCTCATTTTGTCTTCTTTTAATCACTAGGGAGATGTTGGCTCTTCTCATGCCTCAACGTTATGCGACTTCCCTTCATGAAGAAGTTCAACATAGAGGAGTTTGAGTTTAGTCAGTCCTATCTGTTTTTCTGGGACAAGGTAGGAATAGTACTACACATCATTATTCATATATGATTGTTGTAACATTCTTGGATTTTTTTTGTTTTGTTTGTTTTTGTCATTTTGCAGTCAGCACACCATGTGTGTGTGTGTACACACACGTGCATTTTTACAGTGTTACTATGCAAGACTACTTTACAGTCATTGTCCAACAAAAACCCTCTTTTGTGTGCTGTGGTCAGTGTTCTTCCAGTGCTGATGTGACAGTGACACCTGGCTTAATGTCTTAATCTCTCGCTGTCTCTTTCTCTCTGGCCTTGTCTTTTTCTGACTGATGGTTGTTCCACCACAAATACACCTTTTCTTTCTGATAAGTGCCAACTGTAGGGACTAACACTTAATGTAATATTAGTTCTAAAAACAAGGAAGCAAAAAATGTGAAGCTCTAAAAATATCCAGCACCCCTCTCGGTCAAAAGGTTATTATCTTACATCACAGGGGAAGAGTTTTTCAGTCTAAGTTATTCAACACAAGCCTACAGTACATAAGCAAACTGCAAGAACAGGTGCAAGCTTTTCAGACCTCTGAATGCTAAACATTAAAATAGCTCGAAATGTATCTGAATCTTTTGAGGTTATGGTCGGAGTCTCACAGTACTCATGTCTGAAGTCCTCATCTTTTGTGACTTAAGTCCAACTAAAGTTTGCATACAATGGTATACAATAATGTAACACCTGTTCTGTTATTAAATGGCACAGCCCATCTCACATTTTCTCTCCCTGTATGTACTCACCAGTTTTTTTTTATTACAGGTTGAGCGTTGCTACTACTTCCTCCAGGCCTATGTTGAGACAGCACAGAGGAAGGAACCTGTGGATGGACGCCTGGTCCAGTACCTGCTTTCTAATCCAACCAATGACGGAGGACAGTGGGACATGCTGGTTAACCTCATTGGTCAGTTAACAAAAAAGCACATGTTAAATGAATGTGTAATTACAAAAGTATTTTTTATTAGGAAAATGAACTTCACTTACTTGAAATACTTCAGTCTTCTAAAAGAAAAGATTACTGGTGGAACAGAGTTATCTGACTGGATTAAATATACCTTTTTGTTTTATTTATTGTTTTATACTGGCATGTCTTCAGAAAAGTATGGCGTCATTCCAAAGAAATGCTTTCCAGAGTCACACAGCTCAGAGGCCTCACGCAGAATGAATGACATCCTCAATCATAAGGTGTGTTCACACATTTCCTTCAATTCAGGTCAGTGGTCCCACATAGCTGTAAGACACATTTTCACTGAAGCACTGCTAACTTTCTTTGTGTCACACCATGTGTTACAGCTGAGAGAATACTGCCTAAGACTGAGGAACATGGTGGCCAGTGACGCCACTAAAGCTGAACTGTCTGATGCTATGGACACCATGACAGAAGAGGTGAGACTGACAGAGCACACACAGCTGTAGAGTATTCCTGTACGGCTTTTGTACGGCAAGAAAGAGCCTTTCTGTTTGACTAAACACAGTTTAGAGGAACTGCTTTTGACTGGAGTTACTAGGGAGTGAGTTTAGTTCCTCTGTTATCTCCTTAATGTTTGTTATTATTGAAAACAGAAACTGTGGCTTTTGACATTATTTTCACACTTTATTAGGTTGTAGATTTTAGAATCAGAATCAACTTTATTGGCCAGGTGTGTTGGACACATGAGGAAAAAGAATGAAGAAAAAAAGAATGTGGGTTAGGCAAATAAAAATAAGGTACTTGGAGAAATAGAAAAAAATATATATACACTGCTCAAAAAAATAAAGGGAACACAAAAATAAGACATCCTAGATCTGAATGAATGAAATATTCTTATTAAATACCTTGTTCATTACATAGTTGAATGTGCTGACAACAAAATCACACAGAAATTATCAATGGAAATCAAATTTAGCAACCCATGGAGGTCTGGATCTGGAGTGACACCCAAAATTAAAGTGGAAAACAACACTACAGGCTGATCCAACTTTGATGTAATGTCCTCAAAACAAGTCAAAATGAGGTTCAGTAGTGTGTGTGGCCTCCACGTGCCCGTATGACCTCCCTACAACGCCTGGGCATGCTCCTGATGAGGTGGCGGATGGTCTCCTGAGGGATCTCCTCCCACACCTGGACTAAAGCATCCCCCAACTCCTGGACAGTCTGTGGGGCAACGTGGCGTTGGTGGATGGAGCGAGACATGATGTCCCAGATGTGCTCAATTGGATTGAGGTCTGGGGAACGGGCAGGCCAATCCATAGCATCAATGCCTTCGTCTTGCAGGAACTGCTGACACACTCCAGCCACATGAGGTCTAGCATTGTCTTGCATTAGGAGGAACCCAGGGCCAACCGCA